GTACCAAGGTAGGGTACATAAATATGGTGCTTCCAAGTTAGGTCCTATGATAATATTAGCTTTGTACTTCATCATTTATTCTTCTTCCGAAAATTTTCGAATCTATATTATATACTGGTTCTTATATTGTTCTTAATATTTCTCTTTCATAACAGGCTAGCTTTCCTTTATTACCTTATTTACTGTATCAGGTTTCATATGTATTATACTAAACTTTCTTAGTGATCTCCAAAACTGTTATAAATCAACGTTATCTTACACTAACTAGTTTATAGAAAAAAGATGCAAGTATTGATTATTTTCGTAACATTTTTTCATTAGCTGTCTTAATCTAAAAACACGATCCACTGTATACTTTCCTCTTCTAAAACAAGTTTAGTATTCTGTATATGTAATTTCTGTGTATACTTTTATTCTTCTGAATAATTCCATTACTTTATGAGCCATGTTCAATAGAGATACTCCACGATAATCCCACACTTCCCTCAAATCTGTTCCTTTTTTTTTCATATTAGTCAAATTATCTCTATTTTCCAATAATTAGGGATTTGTTCATCATGCAATAACAATGTAATAATAATAATTTACATATTCAATTTTTTTTTTTTTTAGTACCTAGATTTGGCTGGTTGAATATTAATTTCAGACTCCTGAGCAACGGGTCGACGGAAATTAAAAATGTCAACTCATCGCCTAAATTTATTTAAACAAAAATTGAATTTATTTAAGGAATATTTAATATAGGTTGGTATTTGAAAATTAAAAATAAGTAGTGGTTTCACCCAGGACAACAAAAAAATCGCTTACATTTTAGAGCTGCGTGTTTCGTAGATATTCTGAAAAACAAATTTCAAAAAAAGTTATTAATTACTGAGTTATAATGAGTGTCTTACTTTATGTTTATCACCACAGAATAATATATTTTTGTAGTCTATTTGAATTTAACTATTATAATATTAAAATTACAGCAGCGCACAACACGTTTGTGCCGTATACGGTTTTGTCAGTAGAAAACTCGTATTTGCAGACCGCGGAGAACTTAAGATACGGTGTGTTATCAGATGCCGTGTGCGTGTTTAATTCTATTATATATTCATAGTTTATGACGATATTCTCGTGTAGGTACCTAACCTAACTTATTTTACCGAATCGTCAGCGACAGGACATATAATAGTAAGTTTTACGAATTAACATTATAATATTATAATAACAATCACATTATCCCCTCTCTGTTAGTTTTGTTTTAAACTTGACGCCGAGATCAGGCGACCATCATTAAAAAACTTGGTTTACGTTGCTATTAGGACAGTATACACGGCCGTTTTAACGAACAACGGAGTACAATCTCATATAAATATTATATAATGTACCATGTACATTATGTATCATATTATAGAGTTTAGGTTTCATTTAATACCAACTCGGGTACTCTATATAATATATATTATACATAGGTATATGAATACACTCGTTTTATTTCGTGATTTTTTTACATTTTTGACATTATATGCATAATATAATAATAATCATAACTATAATCTAGTCTTTATTAATTTTAATAAAAAAAAAAAATTCTAATTAAATTTGATTTCGCTTATATTTTCGTATTCTGATACGTTGTTAAATACTCAAATGCCTATCCTTAACAACCTAGTCAGTGGCTTGCCCAGGGGAAAGTTTAAGGGTTATACTCTCCCCTCCCAAATGGCTTAAAAATAAAATTGTCAACGTTTTATCCCTAAATCATCCTAAAAAACATACTCCTCTAGCAACAATATGGTGAAATTCATATTGGGATTCAACTTCGCTTTTACCACATCAATCCACTTACAAAACAATTATAAATCTTGATTTTAAGCTTATCTGGTCCAAAAAGAACCGCAAAAAGAGTTTAAAAAGGCGATAAAATATATATAACAGACACAATACAGTGCAATAGTTTATATTTTCTGGGAAAATTCAACAAAAACTGAAATTCCGTGGTTGCAGTACTCCTTCAAGTTGAGTACACGGGGAATATATGTGTTAAACAAATTGAAAGTCCAAGGAATTGATGAATGGTGATGATCTATGTAAACTTAGTTTCATGTTACTCAAATAATAGTAATAAATATTTAAAAGACCCCAATAGTTATTGATTGGCCTCCGTTTCCATGGACACATAGCATAATATTTTTGTAAATCATTTAATAGGAATATATGTTCAGGTGAATGATACCTTTATTTTTCATATGGTTAGTAATAATTTTAAAAAATATTATTAAAATTCTGTATACAATGTTTTTTTTAAATAACCATCGCATTATTGTACGTACATTCTACGTATCTACTGTAAATGAATACGAGTTCGTATATTATAATTATTGATAGTTGATACGTAATGTTTAATTAGTGAGAGGGAAGTAAATAGGCAATCGTTTAACCTCGTTTAGTGAAAATATAATTCCCTTTATTCACATATCAGAGGGTAAAATTACATTAATGAATTACCTTTAGTCAAAATATATCATGGGAGTTAATTTTCATAGTTACACCGATCATCACCTCATTCAGAAGCCGTATTAAGTAGCATGATGAAACATATTTATATTATAAAATATAAAAAGGATTCCTTTATATTTAACTATTTATTTTTATCTTACATTTTAGATTTCTAAATAATAAAAAAGAAGCTTATGGTTTTCCAAAGATGTTTATTTTTTTTTTCTGTGGACAGCTTTTCTACCAGAAGACTTGCTCCGATTTTTACGTGTCAACTTTTCTGAAAGGAAGTCTGTGTGGAGACGTACTTTAGAAAGGATTTTTTCAAAAGTTTTCTCATTAAATGTGAAACACTTAAAAAAAAAAACGGAAAAATTTACGAAATATATTTGTATAATATTACGATCTTTTTTTTCTGTGGATAACTTTTCTACCAGCAATTATGCTCCAACTTTTAATGATAAAAATTTTTCTAACAGGAAATTTCACTGGAGAAGTACTTAAGAGAGATCGTTTTTCGATTTTCTCCAGATTTTTCTCAGCAAATATGAAAAATTGACAAAAAACATAAGAAAACTGGGAAAACCGTAGGAAAACCGAGGAAATCGACTCAACATCAAACAAATATTATTAAAGAAAATATATAGAGCATACCTAATTATTTTACTATAATATAGCAAATATATTATTGACAAAGCATCACTATCAACTAACTCCGCTCAGAATCCTTTTTCCGTAAGAAATGGTTTATCGGTATACATTAAATTATCTATAACAATGGCTGCACTCACCCCCCATTATCCTAGAACGTCTTTTTTACTTTTGTATTACATTTTATTTATTGCTCTTCGCACGTATGTCACATAAAACGTCTGAAAATTATTGACTCATCTGCAAAACAAATATATCAAACAACACTTTACTTTCGTTGAAATCTTTGAAAAATGTAGGCATATAGTTTCCTACTGTTCGACTTTTTATTATAACTAATGTGAAACTTTGTACCTAAGGTCAATTAAACTTCCATAAAACAACTTCTGATAAAAATACTATCTTAGTTAATTGACACTTGCGAGGAGTTTGTAAAAAATCTACTTTCTAGTGGATGAGTTTATGAAATATAAATAATTATTCAAAATCACATGGTGCAAGCATGAAACATTCTTTCCTAACTATATATACAGCTTGATTGAAGCCTGTCGTAACTCCCATCATTGGTTTCAAAATATCTTTTCTTTTAAACGAAGCTTTTCTGTTGCGGGCATTCGTTTGACATTTAACAGAAAAAAAAACTAAAATGATAATCTGAATTGTTCAATTTTACTAGTTTAATATATCTATGACTATAATTCATCAATGATGCAATAGAGACCAACGAAAGATCACATCGAATGCCCTATTTGTATTATTATATTTTTATATATTTCGTTACACATTGCTATTGCTACGTATTTTGTCTGCCTAGCAAACTTACACAGTCACGCACACACATATACTCACATCAAAAATATATGAAATATTTCTTTATTGGTTACTTCCAATAACCTCTAAGGATTTCAGTTACAAAACAGTACAGAGCCGGTTTATGGTACCCCAGGTTGTAATTGAGTTGGGTCAGAGTTTTATGAGTGAAACTACTGCTACTTAAAATCTAATCAAAATCAGATTCCCAGTGGTTATTATCTTTGTTCAAAAATCCTATTTACTAATTTCATTTTCATTTCTTTTGAACGCGTTTTACTCGAATTAAAAATAAATCCAAAAGAAATATTATATAGTATTAAGTAGACACCTATCACTGAGGGGAAATAAAATAATTAAAAATCCTTATACGATACCATATCATTTTTTTGTGAAGGTATATTTTAATACACTGTACACTGACTAGTATTATCATCATTAAAATATGATCTTAATGTTATTTTTATACTTGCACCCCTTTCTCGTCGGTTAAACCATAATTTTCGTTAAAATGCAAACCTCACTAGGTATATAAACTGGTTGTAAATCCATTTGTTTTTCTCCATAAGTAAAAAATTAAATATTCTTATTTTTTTTCGTAAGACATCCAGAGTACAAAATTTAAAACCTTATATGTACCTATAATATAATAACTGTAAGTAACTAATAATAAGGGTGGTTCAGTTTTATTTATTTTTTTTTTAATTGTACCGATGTATTTATATTTTATAAATTAATCGTGCCACTAATATGCCAATCGAATTATTCTCATTTCGCATGGAATTAAAAAGCTTATAAGTTAGATAAATTAATTTTATTTGGCTGTTGGCCACTATAGTTAGTTTAATAGTAGATACCTAAGCATATTATCAATAACTATTATTATCAAATTTGCTTGGATAAAAATAATAATATTAAAAAAAATCATTCAAAAACTAACATTTTATCCAAGTTATTAAACTTAACTTGTCTATTTAACCTAAACGTTTATCATTCTCTTATTATTTCTCTTATTATATTACTTTATATAATCTGCATAAATACAAATTGATAATAAAATGGCAAAAAAGTTGATGGAAGAAGATAAAATGGGTAAGAATCATGGTAAATACGATATGGATCGTGTAGGATTGTTTGCAGAAATGCCATACATGATTAATGAGAAGTATAAACCAATCGATATTAGTAAGTGATAACTTTGATATTTTCATTTAGATTTCAAAATCAATGTAAATATTATTTGTATATTACTCATAGCCAAAGGTACAAGAGATTTAAAAAATTCACAAATGTACCCAAGTATCCTAAAAACTAAAACGGGCCTACAAGACGCTTATTTTGATCCGAAGTATAAAAGATTGTTTGAAAATGAAAAGTCGAAGAAATCGTGAGTACAATAATTTTATTTTATAATATTGATTTAGGTGTGTTACTGTATTTTTTTGTTATTATATTAATAATAAAACCCAAGTCCGTTATCGAGGAGTAATTTTTTCTAAAAACCGTTTTTTAATAAACGAAATAAACTTCTTATACTTACAGTAAATCCATGAAAGTACTCGATATTATAAAAAGGACTTGTCCTGATTTCAAAGACCCAAATATTCTCTTGTCACACTTTATAGTTCATTAGTGAAATCGGTTCTAGAATTTAGGTCTTTGGTGTGGAACCCTTCTCAGTACGGTCAAGTTGAAAAACTTCATTGATGATTTATTCGCATGTAAGGGTACCCCAAATGGAGTTTATAAATACATCAACCTCTGATATTACTAAACATATTAGCTCGGTCACTTAAGCTAAATGACGTAATAGTTTTTGTATAATATCAATTATTAATTGGCAACATAAATTATTATGAATGTTTATCTTTAATTGGGTTTTATGGTCCTGTATTTAACTCTTTAAATACCTATTATAAATACATAATTATAATTTGAATGTATAATATATTACAATAAATATGTTTTTATGCCGGTTCAACTTCTAAAAATTATGTTCACAAAAGCCCAATATGTCGTTTGTCTAGTCTTGTAAGATTTATTTCATTGTTTATTTTATTTCATGATTGTTTCTATTTATATTTATTTTAATCTATCAATGGCTATTGAAAAACCTGTAAAACTAAAAAAGTTTGAATTGAAATATCTTAAGAATATTATGGAATGAAAAATTAAAATTCATATTAATTCTATGGCTACGTGTCTTACTCTGTCTGGTTTTTTAATAACTAATATCCAGTGCCGGCCCTAGGGGTGGGGGGGGCGGTGCTACCACACCTGGCACGGCAAATTATGTATTCCAAATTTCCGAATAACACTATCTATAAACAGTCATAAAAATGTTGCCCCCAATAATAAGCAAATTGCGACCCGTATTTTATCGACGAAAATCAAGATGGTACAAAGATTATATACATAGTTAAACACATTGTTATTAACTTGAAAACTCTCAAACATATTTTATCATTATCAATATCCAACATACTATTGCCGATTCTGTATGATACAATGATACAGTTGACTTGTTTGTATCAAAAAAAGCACGAAAACAAATATATGCTTAAGTAATATTATATATTATCAATTGTATTACAATAATCTATGTTTATTTTTTAAGTAAAATGTACTTATTATGTCAAATTTATGTCATCGTGTTCAATAAAATAAAAATATGAATTAATAAAATATTGTTTTTATCTAAGTAAGTACCTACTTATTTTGTGGTCTAATATAAAAAGACAAATTTTATTTTATTAGTTTATATATAAGTACAAATTGAGATTTCTAACAAGACTTAAAGTTTATATAATTGGTTGAAAAAAGGACGGATATACTTCGCACATTGGTGCAGCTACTGTTGTAGATGGGAAGTTGGGAAGGTAGGGCTAAGGGTTCAGTCGGGAATTTAATGTATATCAGCTGTAAGGAACGATAAACCATTGCTAATGAATAAACGATTCTGAGCGGAGTTAAATTGATAGTGTTGCTTTGTCAACAGTATATATGTCATATTATGGTATTACAAAAATGTGCGTTTTCAAACAACAGCAATTGTTTAAAAAAAATTAAAATATAAAAAATTTAATATTAGTAACAAAAAATAAATAAAAACGGTTGTCTAACAACCTTAATAACAACCTTATTTTTAATCTTTCAATCTTTTCTAACCTAAAGCATCAGGTTCTCCTCATTATCTCGAAAATTTCAAAAAATGACCTCTTTATAGTACCATCCAGAGAATATTTTCTTTAAGAAAAGGTACTATACTTGATAATGGAAGTAAGCTTTTTGGTAAAAAAAAATGTTCACAAAAAAAAAAAAATAAAGAAATAAAAATCATTGTAAAACTAATACATTATTCGCTCCACACAGAATCTAATAAATTAAGCCGTCATAAAATAAAATAACTAAATATATATATGGGACCCCACAAAATTCTGCACCAAGCACCGAAATCTATCAGGCCGGCACTGCTAATATCATTTAGTAAATCAATTAATATTTATGAATACCACAATAATCGTATGAGTTATCAAATTACAGAAATATACTATTTACGAATAAAATAAAAATGACCATAAAAGTGATACTAGCCATAAGTGGCCGGTATTATAATAAAATAAACTTATTATTTTGTTAATTTGTGTGTTAAAATTTCAAATGTTTACTAATATACAATTTAGCAAATTGAAAGTTTCACTAATGCTAAAACCAGATAATAATCAATTTCTAATTCGTTCAACTGTAAAAAAAATAACTTTTTATTTTTCGAACTTATCTGATTGTTGTACCCAAATATATATAATTTTGTCTTTAAATAATTATTTTGCTACTAAAAAGTGAATTTTTAAAAATCGTGGAGTTATCTGGTTGTAGTATTACCGCTTCAATTGGTATAGATTTTTTTTTCCATTTGTATTTATTCAGTACATTTAGTTGTAATTAATTATTGTACATTATTTTATAGTCAAATAAAACTGCCAATAGAAACATCAACAAAGCCACCTTTTGTACCGTCAAGCTATACAAAACGTCATGCCACTCCTGGCGATTCCTATGGTACATTCGGCCCAGTGTACAAAGGTCTACAAACATTTTTTTTATCATTGTCACACATAAAAGAAATGGTTCAGAACACTAACAATATATGTATTTGTTTTTTTCGTAGCCACGTCCAATCTTAAAAAACCAACGTCGAAAAATACAGAGAAAATACTTGCGAACATTTTTACTATCCCGACGAATACGAGAGGACCCGGATGGGCAGATCGGGGTATGAGTCCTTTCCCGGTATACATGTGAGATATTAATCAATTAAAATATTATGTTATTATAGCATTATTCTGGTTTCAAATAATTCAAATCAAAATTTAGAATATCCGGTATTTACCACACAAAAAGTGTACTGTTATTTTTATGTCAAAACTGTTGTTTGTTTATTATTTGTCTTTAATAAAATTCCATTATAATAGAATGCGAGACAGTATCCGTTATAAATATGTAATAAAGACACTTTATTCATTCACAAATCAAATTATTTTATTATTAAATGCAAGCAAATGATAAAATTGGTAAATCAAGTAAAAATCGCAATACAATATTTACCGTAAGCTCAATTCAGTAGGTAACAGGGCGTGTACTTCAACAGAAAAACACTTGTTACTTATATAAATGGCATTGCTATATTATAACGGAATGAATGTAATTATGATTTATAAAACAATGCGATTTTGTAAAATACAACTGTATTGTTCTTCTGTAGTGTATTCGTTTTAAAAAAAAAATGTAGTTTTGGAACGAAAGATATTTTGTCTACGTGCTATACAAATAATATAACGACTAGGACGTACTCTTTTTCGTCACGAAAGAATACATTTAGGTTATAAAAGTTTTCTACCATAGCTTAATAGGTAGGAAATTAAACTAATATATGGCACTCTAAAAAGATAATCTAACAAGTTCTCCAGTGGTTAACAGAAAATTGCGAAAACTTACAAAACGACGGTAGGCATTTTATACGAAATATAGATCAAGGACAGTTTAAGTTATTTTGCGAATTTGTGATAATTAAAATAAATTTAAAATATCATATTATATTGTATTCTATTAAAATTTAAAGGAGGCTAAATAATATTATATTCTATTTATATTACAACAATCTCAAACATTTTGCAGTTATAATTATTTATTTTGTAAACCTATTCAAAATGTTATTCCAGAAAAATTAAATTTTTATTTTTTAACATTTTTCATTTTATGTGTCTAAAAAGGTTGAACAGGTACAATAATTATTATTCATTACGTTCATATTCTAGCGATATCAATATTGAAACTTGCGTGTCACATTCGAGTGATCCGAATTCCAATAGATTCGATTATGTTTTAATAAGCTTGGTTACAAGTTACAATATTAATTAGTTCTATAATATTATATCGATTGGAATAGATTTAATTGATAGTGTCTATTTATTTTTGACAATTTACTGTTTAATAAGACTATAAGAAAAATGTTTGTAAAAAGTTTATACTGCTCACAGATAAACCATTGTTGTTGTGAATAGTGGAGAAGGTATGATATACAAAATAATTTAGTTTATATACAGTATGTAACTATAAATCGTTGCAAACGAAAACGATTCAAAGTGGAATAGTATAGGTATTAGTTATATTTTAACACTTATTACAAAAAAAAAACCAGAAATCGAAAAAAATTGACAAAAGGGTCTGCTGTTGAACATTGCGATAAATGTTTCAAATAAAGTACCACTGATTCGAAACTTCGCATCCTTTAAGGTACAACATTAACGAGTCGGAGCATTTTTACTAATCGAATAAGTGTTTTACTAAATGATTCATTTTTATGAATTTATCATTGATCGACATTAATATCATAATATAAATAATAACATTGTTAAAATTATTATTTTAATATTTCGTTCATATTGTACAGGCCATCTCTTTACGAAAAACCAACTAAAATGAAAACCGATAAAGATAATAAGGAAAAATCTATACCGTTTATAAACGTCGCCGGCCCTGGTAAATTTTTTACAAAAAGTCCATTTTTCAATAAAGATGACGAACCGATGTACAACTTTACTTATAAGGACAAATTTGAGGGAACGCCGTTCTTACCGTCTTCTTCGAATAAAAACGTAAGACATAATACAAATATAATTATTAACTATAATAATATGGTGTATCTTGAAAAAATTTTAACTCAAACAATTTTTAAATTTTATCATTTTCGCAAAAATGCAATAACTAATAACAATAATATTTTATCATAGTCAGCATATCGATTTCGTCACATTGTTTTAAACCAAATATTTGAAATGTTTAACTTAACAATATGGAATTCATAAGTTAGGTATATTGCCAAAACATTATAAATTTGGCGGCTTTCGAATATAATATACAGGATTCCGCTGCATACTAATTGGGTCCCGATATCTGAACGGGGAAAAAATAATATAATAATTGAGTCCCGCGCATAAACAAGATGTATGCTAATTTAGTCCGAGGTTGGGAAACCAAAAATATACTAATCAAGTCCGAAAATTATTTTGAGTAAAATATAAAATCAACCATAATATACGAATATGACGACGACTACGTGATATTGTTCATATCACCTTAATTAGGACTTTCGTCAGATAATATGATCCGAGTTCATATGCAGCCAATATTGATTAGATTGACATATTTTTATGTTATTATTATTATTACCGGGAATAATTTTAGATTTTATTTCTACCGTCGTTAGTATGACTGCTATCTAATCGTTATATTAAACACTTTAGTTTACGGAGTACACCGAACACTATGGATAAAGTTATGTTAATTTTACCACTATAAATAATGTTATTTTGTTGTTTTTTTTAAAAAAGTTTGATGTGACTCAGGTAGTATTCAAACATGAACTCAATTAGTATGCACCTAAAAACAACCCGAGATTCATATTCGTCATAAAAGGTATTATTAGGACTCAGTTAGTGTGCAGCTTAGGATTCAATGACTAGGTTACCTAGGATTACCTAGTGATTACCATCGCTATCAGTCGTTCTGTTGCACTTTTCATCACAAATTTATTTTCGTGATAAAGAAAATATTATTGTTATTATTAAATACAAGTAGCATTTTTATTTTTTAAAGTTTAGAGAAAACCAAATGTACAATCAATTAATCATAAAAAAAAAATAATACAATGCGATTACAGCATGCTGCATAATTATAGGTACTTTTCTCTGAACTTTAAACAAATATTAAAAATTACAAAATTAATGAAAATAAAAATTGTATAAATCGAAATTTTCAGAAAAATAAACTCTATAAAATGACTATCTTCAAATTTTTCAAAAATAATATAATACAAAATTATTTATTTTTTTATTTTTTACTAAAACATAAAAAATCAATTGCAATATAAATATTTGTAGTCGTTATCCCATGTAAAAAAAAAACCAGAGTTTGAATATTTTTATTATCTACAGAGATATTACAATGGGTATATCTTTATGGGACACTCTATATACGCAGATTTACGAATTCCTCTCCACTAATCTTATGCAGTTTCTTTATAGGTATACAAATATTTATTAGAAGGAGTGGGGGCATTTAAAACGATTCTTAGTACAGGCTGCTGATTTTGCTAGGCATGGCACTGCATGTAATATTTAAGATTTTGAGAGTCTCGAAACAAGTTCAAACAAGTGACGTTCAAGATTTTGTCATTCAATGAAATAACCGTTCCAACTAATGACTATCAATTATTTTAAATTATTCATTATTTACATTTTACCGTTCAATAATCTGCTTGTTCAAAATATTAGCGATTTTTTTTTTCATAATTTCGGTTCTCAAGTTACCAATAGTTCAAAATATCAACATTCAAAGTTTGATGTTTAGAATTTTGATGTGTTCCCAGTAAGACACTAGGAAACCTATAAATGTAGACGTGGTTCATTTTACTAAAGGTTTTTTTAGCCGGAAATTTTTTACATTGATTAAAAATCGAGTGACCCTCTGTTTCATTTCTGTATGCAATACCATTTAATTAATGATATATTGAAATATTTAACTTAGTAACACTGTCAACGTGATAAAGTATCTATTTGTGCGAAATGTATTAAGAATACAACCTAACATTTTAGTTTAAAAGTATGTTAGTGCTTTTATTGGGTTAATTTTGTATAGATTTTTCAATAAAAAAATGTAGGGTCTACGAAAATTTATCAAAACAAATTTACTGGTAAAATCACATAAGATACCTTATTGAAAATTAACAATATAACATTTATGGAAATTATTAAGTTTATTTATTAATATTTATTATATAAGTACTTTTAGTATTTTCATCCAGTTTATTTATTTTATAACAAGAGATTATTTTTATCTTTCAGCGTGGTAACTGTTTTAGCAGTTGGCCTAGTCATATGGTGGACCCATATAAAATCAAAATTAAACAAGATGATGTTGACAATAATGCCCTTAAAAATAATATATTCTATCCGCAGACCAGAAATAAAACGTTCTACACAGTGTCCACTATACATAAAAAATTAAGAAGTGCTCATAACAATACCAACTGGCGGACATTAACACCATTAACATTTAAATAAAAACAAACAAACTGATACTACGTGCATAATTTATGTATGTTTAGTTTATAATCATTCGTTATGTCTTACGAATAAATAAAAAAACTAATGTTTATTATGTATAGGTAGGTAGCCACAATATATTATATTATTGTACTCAAAAATAAATATCTTTAAGGGGTAACTATAGGCAACCACGTATTGAGTTCATGATTGTGACATTCAATCGTTTGATATTCAAGATTTTGAAAGTCTTGAAGTTAGAAATTACGACGTTCAAGATATTTCCATTAAATAAAATTGCTGTTCCAAATAATGTATATGATTTATTTCAAATTATGGATTTTCAAAAATTTGTTTATTTAAATTGTTATCGAATTTTTTTTTTCAAAATTTCGGTTTTCAAATAATTTTCAGTTGAAAATACCAACGATCAAGGGTCTAATATTCAATGTTTAATTTTTGCATGGCGTCCGTCTTGCTTGCGACGGTTACCTTTAGGTCACGCTCTTGGAATAAGATCAGACGACTCTCTCCCACCTGCCTATTAAATGATGTCCGCTTGTTGAGGCATATTCAATTCAAGATTTACTCACTACAAACACTGTAGGTTTATATACTTATTTGAGATTAAGTAACAATTAAAAATTATGATTCAAGGTAATTATCAAAGACTTGTTACCTTAAGTGTTTTTATTTATTTTTTAGTAAAGGAAATATGTGTAATTGTGATATTTGTATAAATTGTTTTCTAGTAATTTTTAATTCAATCCCATTTCCAACAATAATGATTCGAAATTGTTGGAGATAGGATTGCAAATTCTTGATAATTAGCTGTGAAATCATGGTATAAACATTTTACTACTAAGCTGTACCAGATGATCCGTTTAAGAGGGTACACTCATTATCTCGGAAAATATTTACTTTTCCAGAATTTGTTTTCCAGAACATTTAAGAAACAAGCTACTCTACAATTTTGTATTTATTTTTTTTTTACCATCCTTATTTTTAGGGGTGAAACCATCACTTATTTTTGATTTTCAAATGGCAACCTAAACTAAAAATTCCAAAAATAGATGGAGTGTTCAGCGGAGGATTTAGCGTCAGGCAAATTAAGCAATGCCTAATGGTGCAAATTTTTAGAAGCAGTAATTTTAGGCCAATATTTTATTGAGAATACAGTGTTATTTTTAGATTTTGTAAAGTAATTTTGAAACTTTACAATTGAAGAAGACTACCTACCTATAATATATAGTAATACATTTTTTAATCCAAAAATTAATTTTATTTTATAAATATTTATCAAGTGTTGGTAATTACGCACTACTTGTACAAAAATAAAACTTTTTTCCATCCGAAAGATAAAATTATAATAATTGTTTATTTTAGGCCGAGTAGAGAATAGGTATTACCTATGTGTTTATTCTGATAAGACATGCGATTTTTTTCAACACAACATTCAAGGTGGATAGACTTAATATTCGGATATTACTTAAATTACTGATGAGTAAACACTATATAAAATATACACTGTAATATTATAGCGATAATTTAGTGCTACAGACTTGTAAAATTTAATTTAATTTTGATAAATATTCGTATGCATTGGTTCTTATTTGGTACTCATACTTATCTTATTTGGACTTTTTAATATAGACTGCCATTTTAAAATCAAAATTAAGTCGTATTTTTACCCCCGAAAATAAAGGTGACAAAAATAACATAAATATAAAATTGTAGATCTGCTTGTTTCTTAGAAACTTGTTCTAGAAAATAAATAACAAAAAAATGTAATACTTTCCGAGATAATGAGTGTACCCACTTAAATGGATCACCTGGTACAGGTGTCATAGATGAGTTCGGAGACACATGTCTCTAGCCCCACCCCTGGTAAATTTAGCTTGCTTTTTAAAGAAAATGTTTTCAAATTGTGAAATTAGACTTGCGAATAATTATTAATTAGTTGCTAAATGATGGCGGTACGAAAACTAAAAACACTATTAAACAAGCTATTAAATCAAAATATTATAAAATATCGTATTTAAGACTTTATGTTAATCCAAGCACTCTATAATGACATTGATTGCAGATCTCATGAAAATATAATCAAATTTAATCTAATTTAATGAAAGAGACGGGAATATTACATCAAATAAAAATAAATTATTACTTATATTAGTCATATTAATTAATATATTAAATGTTATCACCATAAAATAAATGAGATAACAACCACATCGGCCGGTAAATTATGGACGGTTTAAATATCGATCTCCTTTCGTTAGAACAAGGGCCCAATATTAGGGTATTTTTCTACTGCACACCTAATTCCACACAACAAAATATTTTAAAATAATAGTGCACATGCCACATATGACTTTGTTGCACAATTGTTTTTGGTATTTATTGATAATTAGTTATAATAAATACAATTTACGACAATCTTCTATAAAACTCCTTGGTATATGACAAGAAATGTTAAAACTAAAAACTAAAGAGTTTGGGTCAATATACTTATTATATTATTAAAAAATAACAAATACCTAATTTACTGGGAACAACATTTAACACAATGTTAAATTTACAACAATTACACAAATTGAATTAAAAAAACTTTAGTACTATTATTCTCAGCAAATGAAATACTTTTTGAGGCTTCAGCTTCAGAGAAAACCTCTTGAAACCATTCCTGCTTAACAGCATATTCCAGCATGCTTATTTTTTTCATTAAGCCAATAGAAAACTGCTGAATGAGGGTTGAATTTAGACAGACAAGACAAAAAAGACGAATATCGTTATCGGCGCCGCCCAGACTGTGTAGTCGGTGTTATCTTTAGTGTTAAGGATTTTAGATGAGTACTTGTTAATTAGTAATTTTTATTATTTTCAATAATTAATATTGGATATTATTCAAATAAAAATTTAAAAAAGCCTAAAATAAGTACTGCACACTTTTAAATTTGCTACTGCACATTAAATACTAGCCACTGCGCACAATTTTAAGCCCTGGTTAGAACTTATTTTTATATAATTAGTAGATAAATCACAATAATTACTGATCATTTTTATCTTAATATTTTTATATATTAGACTTCGTCTCTCCCACTATTTTGACTTCCCAGCCGGCTAGTGGTGGGTCTTTTCTCACCTACTACAGTGGTACACCTAACCCGTGGTGCGATAATAATATCAAATATAAGTGATATTTCAATAATAGTTATTGATTGCGGTAAATATTTTATTTCAGTACACAAAGTGGTCAACCAAATCGCGAAAAATTTTGCACAATGGCAAATTCGAGTAGCCATTTCATGAAAAACAGCCCTCAATCGTAAAATATTCTTACATTTCACAAAGTGGGAAAAATTTGTTTCCTTTTCGTGAAATGGACAACTTTTCATGAAAATGTCGATTTCATACACAACATAAACACTCATAAATCACAATAAAATCAGTACGACCGCACACAAACACAAAACCATTTTCACACACACTATAATAATTTTTCAATATACCTATTACGCCCCGAGTTATGCATTGTACGGAATAACTTATGCGATCTAGTGAGCAAATAACAATTTCGTATTACATACTTCGATATGCCACTATTAGATAGCGCACCGCGTCAACTTAATGTCGATATTAATCATCAATTTGCGTTGTGTTTTTTACAAAATGTTTGTAGTTTCTGGAGGATTATTGTACATACCCACTAAATACTAAAAAATAAAGGACCTGTAAGGACCAGGCCAATTCCGATTATCACCAAGCGATTCTTAATCCAAATGTTAACCATGTTATGGAGTCTTAACTAACTCATTGACGACATTGAAAAAATATGAGTACTGATGATCGTATTTTATCATTATTAAAATTTCTCATTCCAATAAAATATGCGTTTACATTAATGTCCATTCCCTAATTATGAGCACTTTATAAACAATTTTTATTTTAGAATATTATTATTTTAAAGTTACATTTTGATTTTGTTTTTATAAATGTATACATAACTATATATATTAAATATTATAATTTAAAAAAAAAAATATATTAAAACATTAAATACCATTAATTTAAAATAGTTAATAATATTTATCATAGGTATTGTAAATTAAAACAAAAAATATCATAAATGTTACAAAAAAACCCCTTTTGTTGTAATAAAAAATAACATAAATGTTAAATTGTAGAGCTGCTTGTTTCATAAATGTTCTATTAAATAAATTCCGAAAAAATTTAATACTTTCCAAGATAATTTGAATGAACCCACTTAAATGGATATATTACATTGATCTAAACAAATACGCTTACTAATTATTTATTTTATTTAATAATTGAATTGGCCAGTCATAAAAGTAAATTAGTAGGTACATTACAAAATAACTATTCAATATTTACCTAATAACTTTAATAAATTGATAAAAATTAATAACGAATTATAAGTTCTTATTTTAAGTATCAGGAGCCAACAGCGGTGATACCGCGTGCAACACTATCTCTCGAACGTTGTATATGTTTCACTTTTGATGTAGCGTCTTATAAAGAAATAATGTCTTGTTAACATACCTTAATAAAATTAAGGTTACCTAATACTTAAAACATTTGATCAAAATTCAAATATAATTGATAATTTTTATCACCAATAATTTAGTATTGGATTTTTAAATTATGATAAAAACTAACTTGTAGCTTTTATTCTAACTTAAGTTACTCATTTTCACTAAGTTAGAATATTAGATAATTTTACAAAACAACTTCTATTCCAATTTTATTAGTGTTAACATTGAAGAAACTTTGAAAAAAATGACTAACATACCCAGATTTGAGTAGTGATAATACAATATACATGGAAATCATTAGTTCAGTAGTGAGTCAATAAATAAGAAACTTTTTAAATTTATAAATTTATCTTGTTTATTGTACAGATTTTGTAGTTCTTTTATTTTTTACAAATTACTCATGGAAAAATCAAAATCGTGGTATAACTAATATATTTACTTAATTCAGATTTAATCAGAACAATTTAAAAATTGTTAAAAAAAAAAAACAAGCTTATGCCATAAAGTTTAGTAATTTTACATTTTTTTCAATCAAAATTGTAATATTTTCTTTTGAACTTTAATATTATGAATTTGCAAGTCATTATTGTAATTATTTGAACTATGTAAATACAAATTTAATTGTTATACATATAAACTTATTACTAATACTTCAATCATATTAACTCATATTAAAAATTTAATTTATGCTTCCTGAATAATTATTAAAAGCGAATATTTTGCATACATTTCTTCAATTTGAAAACCAAAAGTTAATATTATGCATGTGTAACGCATAGTATGTATTGAAAAATATAATATGTTGTTCACATGTGCACCGCACCCTATTCATAATCTAAAAATTGCCTATCTAGGCATTGTACTTGTATTATTAATAAATAAATACATTATATCATGATCAGTTCAAACACAATTGTAAAACGAAGTAATTATGGAATAATACTAGGTTTTTAAAAAGTAAAATTCTTAAGTTTGTTGGTGATTAGCTTAGTATAACAATAATAAATATCTTATTTTTAATAGACTGCAATGATCAACAATACATTTCTAAGTAATAATTAAAATTCAATGTTTAATAATATAATTACTTGTTACAAAATAAAATGTTATATTTTAAAAATGATAATGAGTAAGTCATAAGCAGAAATGTGTATTTTAAATTCGTAATTTTGAGGAAAATTGTCTAAATAATAATTAATATTGAACTTTTATAGAATTGTAGTCACACTGATATTGGTGATAGAGCCCACCCAGAGCTCAGGGACACTCCCCAATCCGGGTAGACTGACAGCGGAGGGTTACGGCCTGACGATGCTCCAGGTCGAGCATTTTACCAGCGATGCAAATGCTGGTACAACGGGATAGGATAATAAAAAATAATTGTATGTTTCAATATTGTATTAAACAGATATTTTATTCATAGTGTTCACATATAGCATAGAGTATCAACTAACCATTGTGAATATGTATATAATGAAAATAAACTCTTTTGGATAAAATTTGTACAGATATTTTTTTTTTAGTAGAACAAAAGTAGGTAATGAGAATTATTAATAATATTGTACAGATATAGGTTTGTGTAATTTCACCTCTTTTTTACTATGTTATAATGACAATGAAAAAAATAAAATATATTAATACCTAATGACAATATTTAAATTCTATAGACATTATGTCAAACTTTTGTATTCTCAATAATCATGGGTAGCCAATGATTTGCAATCGTAAAAATGTCATCTTTCTAAGTTAGCTGTTCGCAGTCTCTAACATGCCAATCATGTTCATGGCTGCTGTTACTTATGATTGTCCTCAGCCAAGATTTTGAACCTTTGATGGTTGTAGACTTCCATAATTCTTTGTGCACGATAAGTAAGCAGGCTGTGAGTTTCATGCTTATACAATCTGTAAATCACCGATTCAAATATTATTTATTTGGGTAACATTTTATTCTAGTCGCTCTGAAATGCTTAAAAATTTGAGTATCAGTATTGAGTGGTATTTGGCCTACTGAGATATTTTATGTTATAATTTTTAAAAAAAAGAAGAGATGTCAAATATCAATGGCATAGATCTAATTTATCTATGCAATATCATTAAATATATAGTCATCATTAAGAATTAGTACCTATCCTAAGCAAATGGCAATGTTGAACATATTTACATATTTTCAATTTTTTAATTTGTTAATTGTAATTCCTTATCGCAAAACATGTTTTTTATTTTATTAGAAACTGTGGTATAATTAGCACCGACAATTAAATTAGTGAGCTTTACATGAAATAAAAATTTAAAAAAAAACCTCACAAAAGAAAGGAACGTGTTATTTTATTGAAAATTAATTGTGTTCACAACTCAATTGAAACAGCTATAACTAAGAAATTATCCATCGGATATGAATGTGTGATACGTAAACATTTTTTACAAAAATGACTATTTCGAACATTTTCCAAAGTGAACAAATAAAATGTCGTTTTTTCTCGCGCGTGTGTTTAACGGGATGAAAATAGAAATTACATTTTTCTCCAAATCGGAGTCCTCCTTCGGAAAAAATCTAATATTAACAGCGCAAGTAAATCCCATCGAACACGGCGGGACACACTGGATATAAAGTATCGGTCACCGGTAAAAAAACGTACAGGTTGACACCCAGTACATGCCGTGGATTAACTAGAGGAAGAGGTTACGGTAATTACGGCACGGCGTACGTCGTGCGTTTAAAATTTAAATCGCCGTCACGTAGGCACCTACACAGCGGTACCGAGTTACCGAAACGCCACTTGGTTCTCGTCTAAACGCGCGTTGTCAACTGGTCATAACTAATCACTCGCGTTATCAAATAGGTGGTTATGTTAGGTGCCTATAAGACCATAACTATAATTATTATTTATAAAATTCGACGCGCGAACCAATTACGGCGTAACGATCTTGTGCGTTCGAGTCGCAGGTAGGCACTCGAATTTATTCAAACGGACAGGGATTAGAAGGACAACGATAATTAATGCGGTCGAACAATTAGGTTTACGCGCAATACGTATTCGTAGGAAAAAAAAAACCCAAACAAACATTTCTCGAACGCGGAGATAAAATAACGCCAGCTGCAGCCGCAGCGATACTTACTTTTTGGCCAATATGTCCGTACAATAGGTTGGAAACGCTTTGGCCCGTCGTCGACGCCGACCGGGAATAAATTAAATGTTCGGAGAAGCCGTATAAAAATTTAAAAAAAAAAAAAAAAAAAAAACTATTTTAACATTTCGGACGTCTTGTTGATTCACATCACGTAATATATTATAAATGTACACAATTGTGAAAATGATAACCGAACGTCACTCACCGCCCGTGAGGACCGGACTCAGAACTGTCGGACGTCGGCGACCACGTTTAAAACGGAATCACGAGTAGATAGGGTCTTTGGTTTTTTTTTTTTTGTCCTTTTTCAGCACGTTTATTCATTGGCCATAGATAGCGCTCTAGTACCTGAGAGTACATCGCGCGTGTTCACGGGTGAGGCCAACGCTGCCGTCAGGTCACGTTTGTCCCACCGCGTGCGTATACCTAATTGAATTTTGGTCAATTATTGTTGTTCACAAATGCGTTTGCTTGTACCTAATCACGTTACCGAAAATAGTCGTTGAAGCCTATAGGTACCAACTTCTTTCCTGCACTCCTGTCCGTCACTTTTCTACCCCCCCCCCCTCGTCATCAGTATAAAAACCCATTGACGTCGCGAAATTTATTTTTTATACGACATTTCGATACATTTTTTATTCTGAGCGTAGCGAGAAACACATTAGTTTAACTACCTACCTATGATGTGTTCAAATTTTAACGGAAATAAATTTAAATCACCGCATTACAAAACGTGTGTTCTAACTAAAAATCTTGCTCAAATCAAAAAAAAAACACTCGCGTACTATTTTGTAGCATTTTAGATCAAATTGGTCCATGGAGAAATATTTTTTTAATTTTTCCTTTTAGTTTCCTTAATAATTCCTAAATAGAAAATTGGACAAATTTACTACAATAACAGTTTCATTATTTTCGATTTTTTTTAAATTTATTTTTCTATCAGAAATCTTGCTCCGAATTTCAAGTGTGTCATTTTTTCTGACATAAAATTTTGTCCAGCTAATACACGGCTGCATGAGACGGTTTTTTGATTTTCTTTGTAATTCTCTTAATTATTGAGAAAAATGGGAAAGTTTACGGAAATAGTTGTTCAATTATTTTCGATTTATAATACATAAATTAACATCTAATACTTACAAAGGGAGTGCTATACAAATCCGGAACGTAAGAATGCGGAGTGTATTATTCCGGAACGTAATAATCCGGAAAAATATCAAAATGGGTTTCTAAAATATTTTCATGAGTATTTATCTTTATCCATCCGCATAATTACATTCCTAAACCTCCCATCTAATCGTCTATTTTACCATTCATCGACGATAATATCCGTGTTGTTATCACGAAAGATTCGATAGTAATTTTTCCATAGATAATGTCTATGCATTTTACCAGCAAAAAGATAAAGTTATACTAAACTCGAAACGGGAAAATGGGACGATTTTATACTTTCCAAAATATTGCAATGGTCATATCGTGAGGCACTCTGATACATATGCAGTGCCGTAACTATCCTCCGTGGCACCTTTGGCGAATTTTATTTTGGCACTTATTTTTGTTTCATTTCATAGGTATAATTTTTATAATATTATTATATTACTTACATTCTTACGTGTTAATCGAAATACTGCTATATATCTAAATTATTGAGTCATTATATAGTTAATGAGTTAGGTATAATAATTTAGCTCAAACGCTCCCCCTTACTTCAATGCGCTCTTGGCAACTGTCCATTTCCCCAACACCCAGTTACGGTACTGTGCATACATCACCGGCGTCCCCACAATATTACTTTGTTTAGATACTGCAAGCGTATCATTTTATATTCTGAGCGTACTATGATGTATGTTTTTGTATTTATTTTTTTTCTTGCATCTGTGAGCAATTTTTCTACCGGAAACTTTAGTGCGAGTTGTTACGCATAAAGTGTCCCAATACATTTGTACGTTATTAAAGCATTTAATTCTGAGCCTATTAATGTTTAGAATTTTGAATAATTTAAAATTGTAATGTTTATGCCAAGTCCAGGCTTCTTTTAAAAAAAAAACTTCAATATAAAATTATTTGTAGTTAATTTTATTTTATTTTACTGTTAAATTTAAATTTTCGATTAATAAAATATTTACAATAAATGTGTGAAATCGACACAGTGTATAGCATGTTCACAAAGTCATGTGACGGCGCGCGTTCGCAGTATTTATTATTCTTTCATACTAAACGTTAATCTTGAAGTGTCATTTTAACTATTTGATTATAAATTTATTAAACCGTCCTTTTTTGAGGAGTATTATATAACATATAGGTTTATTGGTCATAAGACCTTTCGCATAAACACAAATAGTGTTTGGATGGGGGGGGGGCAAAGGGCTAAAGATCCATTCTGAACACTCTTTTACGATTTATTTAGTACGAAATAACTATAAAAAAAAATTTGGGGGGACGGTTAAAGGGTTACCCTTAAATTTTGGGAAATATACAACATTTATATTTTAGAGTGGCATAGTGTCTCTAGTCCCCTATATTTGTACATATGCTCTTCGTATATCCTAAAAACCCTCTAGTAGGGCCCACACACAGGTTGAGCATAAGGGCCTACAAATCTTAAATCCGGCTCTGTATGTAACCGAACTTCGCCCTGAATCGTTTTTCGTTAGAAATAGCCTATCGTTACTTACAGGTACAAATTAAATAACTTTATATACCCTTCCCAACTTCTTACTTAAAATAGTGACACACGTGTGTCCAGAATCAGATTTTTTTCTATCTGTAAGAAATTCTTCCCCCGGAAATCTCCGCTAGTTAAAAAATGACGAGAAACCTGTGTTGTTTCTATTAAATCTATAGGTTGTGAGTATTTAAGTCAATTTGACCAACTATAATATTAAATAAGTCCAATTAGCTGACTGATTTAAGTTTAGGGTGTCGAATAGCACCACTTTAGTTTTGCTCCTGTGTATATGTTTATTTCAATAAAAAATATCTAGGTAATTGTATTATATACTAGTATTCTATATACTGGGTTGATAGTATTATTGATTTTATAATACGCAGATAACTAATACTATACAGATACTATACAAAAATATACACCGTTCATAGCAGTGTACCCTGTAATAAATGAATACTATGCAAAAGGGTACGCTTCCGCTTGTAAAAAAAAAAAACTTCTCGGTACCTACATAATTTTACAAAACAATACGTTTGTAAAATAATACAAATTTATTTACAATTATTATTTTCAGTAATTGAAAATCAGTAATCACTTCTGTCAATCAGTGGTGGACTAAACTCAAATTGTTCATAAATCAGCGGAACAAACCGTCCTAATCCGAGGGACTCCCGAAATCTACCGACACGTTATTGTTAACGCAATAAAGGGTATGTACCCCAGCCAAGCGGCGACCCACGCAGCGATCACATGAGGCAGGCGCGGCGTTTATAGCCTCCATGGCTCTCCTAGATATCAAACTACCTATAAATAATAATTTCTTTCAAAAATCTATATAGAAGTTCAGAATGATAAATTATAATCACAGCTTTTATTCAAAAGAATCTACCCTCTTCCCTGAATATTTACTATTTTACGGGTCATCCTTAATCACGTTCAGAGTAAATAGTTAAAATTATAATTTTTAGACCAACAGGATATCGCCCCCCCCTCCCCTAGAAGACGAATCAAATCCGCCACTTCCATGAGGTTGATATGCTAAAACACTACACCGGCCGCTCAAACGGAGAAAACGACTATAAGTAATTTATAAGTATTTCAATTTTTATAGTAGTTTTGGTTTTTCTGTCGTGCCAAGCTCGCAGTAGACAAGACACGGCACTCAACGGCCAGTCGAGAATTAATTATTCGATTTCATTTTCGAGACGTGGACATAGCCAACGGCTCCAACGACATCTACTACCTCAAGAATATACGAGTCTCTCAGGGAAATGACACGGAAGCAACTGATTTTCCCTTTTGCTCATTCACTTAGCTGAGACTTTCGGTTAATTTACGGGTAATCATCGAAAATACCGCAAGTCCGGATTTCTCGGTGTAATCGGTATTAATCAAATATCAAATACCGATGTAGAAAATTCAAATACCTATTAGTAAATAATAGTTTTAAATGTTTTGTAAATACATTTGGATACTTTCCATGTTGTAAGAGGAGGTTTGAACCTCCTAAACTCTGTTTTTTTTTTTATGTGACAAATTGACTGTACGAACCTCAATATTTCCCTAGATTGTCCTGTAGGTACAACCCGCCATAATGTACCTATAACCCGTGGAAATCAGAAATATATACAGAAATCAACAATTTCTTCTTTTATTTGGTAGATTGTAGCTAATTTATCTTTGTAAACAAATAACAGATTTTCAAAAAAACAAACCTAGAGCCAAATATTCATTCAATCAACATCTCTAGATATAATAATAATAGCTCGATTCCCGATGGGCTCGGCCATCGTAAATCCATTATAATAAACTTTACTTTTTTGCAGGACGTCACACCGTTGAACAGACGAATTATGTTTTTTCATTTGTTTTGCTATCGACTATATAATATTATATTATTATTATCATTATAATTAGTGTGTGGGAGGAAATATATCGATATTACGATTATATTTTATGAATAATTGGGTACCACAGTACGTTTGCTTTCATAGTATTCTCGACTAATAATGTATTATTATTATTATTATATAATTTATGTTTTATTTAATCTTTTATTCATATCACCATCACACAGAACATGCGTTATTTGTTTATACGACTGACCCGGCGAAGACGCTATCCAATATAACAATACAATGCACACTTACTATGTGGCAATTACTTTATATAAGAAGTCCAAGAACGTCCATAGTTTCCACCAAAATGAAAAAAGTTCTGTTCTGTCAAATCCATTTCTACCTATATTATTGTTTGAGAACCCCCCCAGTCAATATAGTTGGTAATAATAATAATAAATCTATATAACCGACGCTATCGGTGGATATCGGGAGATTAGACATAAATAATTTGATATTTGAAGTACTTACTTACATAAACTATAATAATAATATACAATAGTGTAATAATATGTAATTATCTTTATAACATACTAGTGTAATATTCAACATTTTGACTGTTAATACTTCAAACACACTCAATAAATACTATACAGAGAACACTATTTTTATAGAATGCAATTTATTAAAAAAAATTGTTTTAATTTCCAGGCAGTTTTCCCAAAAAAGTGAAGAAGTGAGAAAAAACGGGAAAATGCAAGAAATGTAGGTATTAGTTAAAAATATTACGGCCTTCCTATGAACAACTTTTCTACCAGCAATTTTGTTCCGATTTATAATGATAACACTTTTTCTGAAAGAAAAATGACTGGGAAGGTACTGTAAAGAGGATTTGATTTTCTCAGGATTTTTCTCAACAAGTATGAAAAACGGGAAAATTGGTATAATATTAAATAAATATTATTAAAGAAAATATATAATATCTATTTAATTATTTTACCATAATATGACATATATAATATTGACAAAACATCACTATCAATTGAAATGCGCTCAGAATCGTTTTTTATTTGGCAATGATTTTTTGTTGTTTACAGATATACATTAAATTCCCTTCTGTATCCTACCTTCCTAACTTTCCACCTACAACAGTAGCTGCACCCGTTCCCATTATCCTAGGATAGCCTTTTTTTATTTAAAGATAATGGTTTTGATTTAAACGAACGTATCGTAATGTTTGCATTAAATAGTGGATTAGAACAATTATCAAATGCTGATACTTCGTTCATTGATGGTAACTTTGGTTTATCACCCCAACATTTTCTAAAACTATTTGTGATTCGAATACAAATAAATAATATTTTTACCACACCAGTGTTTTGTTTACTTGAACGAAAAACTCATAATACTTATAAAGATATGTTTAAAATAATTTTGAATGAGTGTAACTACCGCGAATTATACCAAAATTAATTGTACTTCAATGTTGACTTTGAAATCGCAGTTCACAAAGATAAAATAGTTTTTGATGAACACATTTTAATTCGTGGATGCTTTTATCGTTTGTCATAAAATACCTACAGAAAAAACATAAAACCTAGGCCTATGCAAACAATATAAAAACGACGAAAACGTCAATTTATAATGTTCAATTATAGATGGATTGGCTTCTCTCCTTGTAGATAAAGTTTATGAGGGGATGAATTATTTAAAACTAAATTGCCCAACAGGAGCAGAAATACAACATTTTAACGAAAATGATGTCAGTGGTACATTTAGGAAAGTTAAAAAACAAGCAAACAATTTAAATTTAAGAACAATGAATACCACCATTATTCGTACCAAAATCTTAGAACGTTAATTTAACAAATTTATCAGTAAATCCACACAGAACTAATAAAGCTTGTGAAGGCTGGAATAATAGGTTTTCTCATCTCGTCAATAATAAACATCCCAGTATTTGGAAATTACTAACAAAAATGTGTCAAAAAGTAGGAACGGACAAGGCAAGAATGGTATTGGTTGAAGTAGGAGATATTAATAGGAAGAAAACAAAAGTTGGCAAACAAATGGAAGTACGATTGAACATTTTATGTCAACGTTTTGCTGAAGGTAAACCAGATATTCCTAATTTCTTAAAACAAATTAGTAAAATTACATACCTACATATTATTTTAATATTTAATAATATACACATTATTGTTACATATATAATAAATAAATAATTTTTATTTGTATTCAATAAAACTTATTTAAATTATTTGTTTTTGTTTTGTAACTTATACCGGGGACTTTTTTCCGTTTACCGGCGAAATATTGGAAGAGGCCTTCAACGGGATAGCGGGACACATATGTCAAAAGTGGGATTGTCCCGCTAAAATCAGGACGTATTGTCACTTTAATTATACAGCATGTTTAATATCGTGAAATACAAATAAATAATAGTAATAAAAATACTATATTTTTGAATCACTAATACTTTTGTATCGGCCTTCATCGACTCTGCAGTCTGCGGTGCCAACATTTATAACTGTAGTATGAAAGAAAAACCACATATTATAGTCATTCGCTGTCGGGCGATCTTCCGGAATAAATGTTTAAATTACTAAAAGTTGTACGCTTTTTATTCTGATCTTAAATGAAAGTAGTAACGGTTGTACAATTGTATAAAAGTGATGAAAAAAAGATTTTGATTTAAACGCACGACTTCATGAATATTGTTAAAAAACATGTTTATACAAACTTATTCAAGTTGTTAGAAATTGCTTTAACAATACCTACTGATAGTTCCGTTTTATGCGAACACTCAATTTTATCAATGAGTAGTAAAATTAAAAATTTATTAAATAGCATACTAGCATGGGACAATAAAGATTTAGTTCTTTATATTATATTTTGATCATTGAAATAGAATTGTTAACTTAGCCGATGTCGAACTGATTGTTGATAATTTTTCAAATAAAGATAGGTGTATCTCATGAAGTTAATTAATAATATTATTTTAACATATTGAGATGATCAATTTTTTTTGTTTTGTGTTTTATTTTGGGGGAGAGGTTAACGTGTGATATTCTAATTTTATTGACTGAAATAATGTTTTCCCCACCACATGGTATAACACAGACAAATTTCGGTGGCATTTGATTCCAAAACCCCAGATACTCCTCATCTACTAATCAAGTACTGACTGAAGTACTCCTATCCGAGCATCCCCAGTATCAGGCATATAGAATTGTACGGCGACAGCGTACGATCAGTAACGATTATTACTGATCTATCAAATAGGGGGTCCGGTAACGTTCAGCGGTCAGTCACGTATGCGCGAATGTATGGTTTTAAGTTGAACAGGGTATACATTTATAAATATATATACTCGTTTTAGGCATACATATAATAATATAATAATATTATTATAATCAATTACGATTACATCAACGAAAACGCAGATAAAGGCATAAGTGTTGAGTTTCTATCGAAAATCGTAAATGCATGGATGATGTATATCCATAAGTGCAAATAGTATTTGACATTGGTCTAATGGCATTTTTTTTTGTTCTTATGCTTTTCTTTACTTTATGGTATATTCCAATGCATTAGGCAGTGAAATTATATTTTTAAATTTTTTTTTTTTGGGAGGAGGTTAAACCAATAGTAGACAGACTAAGCTCCCAGCATCTCCCTTATTCACGCCTTTGTGTATGTCGCATATTAAGTATTACCTATATTGTCATATTTGATTACGCTATTAGACAGTGTCGGTCTGGTCCACCCGGTTACCCGGTGATCGCTTGGATATTTTTAAATACTGAGGACTCATAGCCAAATGGGAAAATAAGAAAAGTAAGTTGTTCACAGACAGAAAAAAATTTTTGTTTAAAAATCAACATCATAGTAAAACCAGTACATTCCTCACTCCGTTCTGCAGAATCTAAAATATTTAAGATTTAAAATAGTATTCATTTCAAACGGGCTACGAATATTGCACAATGCTTGGTTGGATCCTGAATTCTTTAAAATATAAGGAAATAGTAACAGTTTCTATCAAATTCGATAAACTATCTCAATTGGTTGGGGTTAGGCGCATTATTTGTCGAATTGAATTAGTTTGCACTGTTTGCAGAAAAGTATTAAAATTATTTTGTAACAAGATGTCAAGATCTGTATATTATGAACGCAATATATGAAATACAATAGATAGATAGGTACCTACAGAAGCTGAAGTGCCCGTGATAAAAAAGAATCAAAACATAATATTGATAACTTCTGATTTGAAGTTTTTCAAATTTTAAAAAAAACATCAAAATTTAGTTTTTTTAATACAGTTTATTTAATAAAGAAACATGTTTTCTTATAAAGAATGCCATGCTAACATGTACGTTAACTCAGGCCATCTATCATTCAAAAAAATCTTGAACCACTATCATGTTGACGCAAAATTGTCTTCCATTTATTTTATTTTTGTATTAAATTCATCATTTCTCTTAAAACTAAAATGTCAAACAATTCAATAAATCACATCTTCAAATCAATAATTTTTTAAAAACGATTTAGAATAATTTTATGTCAACTAACGTTTGATAGTTTAAATTTGTAAAATGAAAACCTTCGTGGTCGTAAATAAGAATAGAACGATAAAACACAAATCAAAAAGCAAACTGACATACTTCGCACGATAGGTGGGCCACTGTTATAGATGTGAAGTTGAGAAAGTTTTTTTTTATCAATCAAAATATTGGTTTTTAACTTATTTTTACAATAAATGCCTTCTCCATTTTTCTATGTCATACGCCATATTCTTGAGCTCCATGTAGGAAGTGACTCCTGTATCCTGTATAACTTGGCTATAATGTACTTCGTCCTGGGTCTTCCTTTTGATCTTGTTCCTTCAATTATTATACTATGTAACTATGTTGGGAAGGTAGAAGGAAAATTGAATGGACATGGGAGATTAAGGGAACGGTGGTCATTGGGTAATGGTAGTCACCTTGATATCTCTAAAACTATGATAACTAAAAGCTGTTTTTCGTGCGAAATGATTAATTAGGTAATACGTTATCACATGCTTAAAATATATGATATGCGATAGTTATCTGTGGAATATTTCTGCCAAAAAGTAGTTCTTAATATTTTTAGGGAGACCTGACTAATATTTACAAACATTTACTAAGAATTTGAAAAAAAAAAAAAAATTCCTAAAAACTACTTACTTAATATAATATATTATGTAACATAACTAGAAGACTATGTCAAATTTAAATTTAAGTATTAATTGACAATTGTTATTTCTATGATAATTGTTATTTGATAAAGACCAAGTAATAAATAGGTAGTAATAATACAAATTTATGATTTTTTTTTTTTTAATTTTAAGGGTTTTCAATTTTTTCAAATTTTTCCTATTAATTTGTATAGTTATTTGAATGACTGTTATTCCTCCGACATTGGGGGAATGATAGCCATTTGTACTTTTTTTTTAAAAATCTGAAATTTAAGTATGTTGTACCTAACAAGTTAATAAGTACTTCCTTTGTATGCATTGGCTAATATATTTGACTAACTAGTTTCCAGAAAATAAAGTTTTTACTAAGGTGACTGCCATTCCCCCAGTCTCCCCTACCTATTTGTATGCAACGATTAATCATTGCTAACAAAAAGCAAGTCGATACCGGGAATGGAAACGGCCACTGTTATAGTTGAGAAGTTAGGAATGTAGGATAAATTAGGTTATTTCATTTATATCTGTAAGCGACGATTATCATTGCTTGACGAAAGACGATTACGAGTGCAGTTCGGTTTGGAGTGCCGTAATTTTTTTTGAGATTTTCATTTAAATTTGGTTTCAAAACGCTTATAAAAAAAAAAAATAATCCGATGATTTTGAAAATTTCCAAAACGTCTAAATAAGTCCAACATAAGTATTATTACCAAGTTTCAAGTCTCTACATGTATTTATAACCGAATTACAACAAAAAAACTCCCAAAAATTAAAACGCCTTCAAAGTTCATAAGTGGCTCAAGTTTTGGAGATAATACCATAAGAAAGTAAATCAAAAAGGCAACAAAAAAGGTGTCTCATAATTTTTTGGTTAAATAATTTTTTCTGGTAGTAAACGTCATCCGTATTTTTGTAAAAAATAATGAAATCGTGAAATTGTATATTTTAAGTTTTTTCCCACTCGGGTAATTTTATTTAATAATGATGTTTAAAATAAAAAAATTACATTTCTAAAGAAAAACTTGGGCTTTCAGAAAAGTTGCTTTACGTAAAAATTGAAGACAGTTTAGTAGGAAAAACGTGTCCACAGACTAGAACAAAGAAAAAAAGAAATAAACAGCATTGTAAAACCAATAGTTCCTTCACTACTCTTGGAATCTAAAATATACAAATTGGTCGTTTTACATAGAATATAGAAATAATTTATTTTAATACTAGAGATTATTTAAAATTAGTTATTATTAGACATAGATAGGTTACGAAAAGTAAATTATTTGGTTATTATTTATTATCTAAAATTATTATATACATATAATTCTTCTAAAACTGAATTAATGTAAATGTTGTTTTGGGTATTTAATATTTCTAAGTTTGTATTAATATCAAAACTTATATTATAGTTATTTTCTAAAACATGTTTAGCGAAATTTGAATTAGGGGCATTCTTTTTAAATTTTATTTCAGAATTGTGTTTTTAAATCTTATTTTAAAATTTCTGTTTGTCTTACATATATAAAATTTATTAGTTATAATTAGGTTTATATATTCCAGCATTTTCAAAATAAGGGGGATTTTTGTGAAGTTTTTAGTTCCATTGTTTATATGTTTGATTAAATTATTTGTATTATTGTTCAGAATTTTAGTGAACCGTTAAGACATATTATTTTTTCTTTAATGTTTATGCATTTTTGTAATAGTATTTAAATTTAAATTATTTTTATGGGCTATATTATAGATAATATTAAATTAAAAACTGATATTTTTTGAGAATAAGGGTGATTAGAATCATGTGGTATTATAGCATCAGTTAGTGTAGGTTTCCTGTAAATACTAAAATCAAATTTATTGTTTATTATGGAAACTGTAAGAAATTTAATTTATTATTCATTTGTATTTCGAGTATAAATTAAATGTTTTTATTTATTTTGTTTAAGTAGTTAACTAAATTTTCTGCTTGTCTATTTAAACCTCTAAATAAAATGAACGTGCCATCAATATATCTATAATATGCTTTTATATTTGGACTGTATAATTCGTTGTTAATATTATTATTGGTTTCATAATTTTGCACGCAAATTTCAAATAAAAGAGCACTTAAAAGACCATCCATAACTAATCCATCTTTTTGTGAATATAATTTATTATTATATTGGAAATAATTTTGACAAATAATTAAATTTATTGATTGAATAATTTCTTGTACTTTATTTGTATTTAATTTATTACTATGTATAAGTTTATTTTTAAAAAAAATTTACTATTTCGTGTTTAAGAATGGATGTATATACATTTTTGACGTTAAGAGAAATCATTCTGTAACCTCAACATTAATTTTATTCATTTTTCAATAAAACCATAAGTATTTTTTATAGAAGTATTAATATTCATTTATTTTATTTTTATAAATACATTTATTTACTATGTTTATTACAAGTAGGAAAATTAATATACTATATAGGAAATTATTAATTTAGTTTACATTCCACTTGTAACAATAAAGCAAATAATAAATGATTGATGAGTGGAGTTTAGTTGACATTTTTTTGACAAATTTAAATTTTAAATTGTACAAATTAACATAAAAATGTTAATGTTTTTTTTAAAAGAATTATATGACAAAAAACACTAACTACTTATCATTAATTAATTAAAATTAAATTACTATATTGTATTACTTCTTTTTTTTAACAGTAATATAAATTATTATTTACTTTGTTCTAAATTTTTTAATATTTTGATAAGAAAAGTTTTTTTACATAAATAGAAAATACAAAAGTAGTAGAACACAAAATATTGAGAATTTTACAAGTTTTATAAAATGTGTAATTTCAAATATATTTTTTTTAAAAATGTGAGACTGAATTTTCAGTGTTTCTCTGTTGCCTAAAGAAAAACTTACAAAATATCTAGTATAAAATGTTCAAGCATTTAAAAAAAGTCAAAGTAATTTTATTAACATATATATATATATACAAAAAAAAACCTATTATTTATGAATGAAAAATCATGCTAAGTAAAATTAAAATGGTTACATAAAAAAGTGTACCTATCACAAATAGTGAAATTAACCCAGCGGAGGAAAGTCACTACTATTATTGGATACAGGTGGTTTATCTTTAGTTGGTTTAACTTTAGTTTCTCCTTCACGACTTGCACTTTGGCCCCAGCTGTTAACTATAGAAGTATGTTCTAAAGCATTTTTGTTGGAACTGCTCAATGGAGGAAAGTTATTACTCTTTTTATTAGGTACAAGTGGTTCAGCTGGTTTGTTTGGTTTACCCCAGGTTGTTTGTTGAACTACTGTTGGTTTCCCGCCTAAAGCTGGGAATTTGTTAGCATCTTTTTTCTTTTGTTTTTCATAACTAGTAACATAACTTTTCGAAATCTCTAAATCTTCAATATTTTGTCTGACATCATGTACAATTGGAATTTCCAGATAAGACAAATCAAAATCATAATGAAAGCTGGGCTTTAATTTAATATTTAAATAATGACAGCAGTGAGTCGAGAAAATGTAAATCCACTTGCAGACAAAGTAGTTACTACAAACATGAGCTTGCTGGAGTCTATCGTGGAAAGTGCAACCAATTATTTTAATTGCGTTTAACATATCTTTAGTTAAACTATCTGAAGCCAGTGCAACAGAAGGTAATGCCTTGTCTTTGCAGTCTGGGTTTACTAAGCTATAAGCTTTATTTTTTATTTCCATAAATAGTTTATCCAAATGATAAACTTTAAAAATGTTACCGAAAACAGCTTTATCCAGAGGAGAGCTTACAGCACTTTGGTAGAGCTGATACAAACTACTGAATGTGACTGAAAGATCATTTCCTGTAGTATCATGTGCAGTATATATAGGAGGCATGTCAAAAGAAGGATCATTAAACATATCTTCATCGACCTCTTTTTCGACAATAAAACCTAAATAAAAAATCATACATTTGAATGATAGTTGGTATAATTTTCAGTGCTCGAATTGAAAAAACATAAGAGGGATATAGACTTAAAACAAGGATTAGCATCCTTTGCAGTTATTGAAATTAACATGTGGCAGCACTTTTTAAACATAATTCAGTGATTAATAAATTCCGAAAAAAAAAAATTACCAACATTACTATAGGTTAACTTTTTGCTTACATAATATATTATATCATTTAATTAGGATTCTACTATGATGAGTTTTTATTTTTTCTATGCATGTGAACAACCTTTTTCCCAACAATTTTGCTCAGATTTTTAATTTTAGGGGTAATAGTTGCTAGTAGAAAATGTTATCTAGTTAGTGCAATAAGATTATTTTTTGATTTACTTTAGTATTCTTAATCATGGGGAAACCCTATAAAAACTTTTAATATTTACACAATATGGTATCTGTTATATTCAGTTTTATTTAATTGTTGTGATTCAGCGAGGCTGAATGAATAATCATGAAAGATGAACATTTCACTGAATACTTATATAGATATAATCTCTTGAATACAGTTTTTTCCATAAATGATACAAGTTTCATAACTAGAGCCTGGAAGTTACAGAAATTGCATACTTTTCTGTAAATGTTGGATTTATAGCAGAATTAAAAATTCTTTCTATACGATGGAGCTTAAAAAAAAATAATATTTTGTTAATTTAACAAAAAACGTGCACATTTCATCAATTTTCAAATGTATTTTAAATAAAATTTGAATATAAAATTCAATATTATTTAATGTAGTTATTTATTGTTATTGCTTATCGTCTGAGTCTATTATTAATCTATTTGTGCATGATTCACATTTAATCTTTAAATTGTTTGTGTAAATTAATTATGAAATTACATATTTTTGAAAATAAACTGAATAATTGTTCGCATATTTTGCCACTCCCATAACTTCTGAGCCTTATTCATAGCATACTGGTAATTTTTCAGTTATTTGAAATTTGTATGATTTTATTTAGTTTTATGAGATTAAAATAATATTGGCCCAGAGAAAATTCTGGAAAATATAACACAAAGTTATCATGAGTTACAATTGGTAGAAAAAAAAACCTCATAATAAAGTAATTTTTTTTTTTAGAAATGCCAAAAGTTCAAATTTTAATGAAAATGTAAAATGTGTTCTATGTGTTTCACTTTAAATAAATAGTAAACCTACACTAAAATTTCTAAAAAAATTAGTTGAATCCTCCCAATTCAAGCACTGATAAATTTTAGGAATTATACTTACTAATCAGTTTGAAAAAGGTAGCTTTATAATTAATGGGTAGCTTGGTAAATGTGGTAATATGATGATTATTTTTAGCATGTAAGTTTATGTCTGCTGTTGGCGCCACTGGGGCAGATGTTTTGATTTTGTCAAAACCTAGCAACTCATGAATGATTCGTATTAATCCTCGTTCTAAAGAAAACTCAACCATTGTCACTTCAGCGGGAAAATGAAATGATTCATTTTCACAACAATAGGAATTTACAAATATAAAAATGAATTTTTGTTTAGGTAGAAAATAAAAAGGTGGATCCATTTGAACTAGTTCTTCAATGTAATGGTACATGGCATTGGCGAGTAATTTAACATTTTCCGATTCTCTTTGAACATCTTCTATTTTTTCACCAATGTTGGTATATTTATCTATTTTTCTTCCATTTAGCGCATTTTTGGCCTTTACTTTATACTGTCCTTTGATGTGATCAGGCATTTTTTCCCAGTTTTCTTTACAATGGCTGGGCATATCGGCCATACTCATTTTTATCCCTCTGTTTGACAATAACTGTTGAGTTTCTAACATGTACATTCCAAATGCATTCATGGGTTTCTTCTTAGGAGCCATTCTTAAGAAAAAAAAAAACAAAAGTAAATTGTTAAATAATAAATAAAAAAATAATAATTTAATATATAATATAGTGTATAAATAATACAATATACAGTATGATTACGATAAGTGGAAACACTGAATAACTATATGTAGGCTTCATGTATTTCAATTTTACTTTTTCGGCAAACTAATAAACATAATTACACCTATTCAAAAAATTAAGTCTATTTTTGTGACAGTTAATTTTGCATATGCGCACAATAATTTTTTATTTTTTAGTAGCATCACTCTTTTTTGACCACAAATTATTATTTTTTTGTATTTTTTAATGAATTTTAATGGTTGACATTATTTTCTAAGTTAAATATGGCTGAATTATAACAATTTGAATATTTTATCTTATTTGCATATGCATAACTGGTAAAATAGATTATAAAAATACATACCCAGTGAATAATAATAAATACATAATAATACAAACAAAAATAATTAATCAAATTTATCCAATTTATGAAATACCTGTTTTAACTATTGTATTTATTTTTGATCACAGTAATTTTATTATAATTTATAAATAGTATCATACTGGTACTACTGTACCAGTTATAATTCAATTTAAGGAATTTTTGCAGTCTAAATTATTTTGCAGTAACTAATTTAAGTTGTAATAAAATAAATATAAGTTACCTAGGTATAAAATTAATATTTTAAATTTTGAATGTAGTGAAAAAGCTATTAATTTAACTACAATGTATTTTTTTAACTAGGTACTTAACCAAATTTAAAAACAGAAATATTTAGCTTTTATTATGAATAATACATATGATAATACATATGAAAATTGCAGTTCCCTCAGATATAGAAAATTGTGATGCTATAGCAAAACTCTTTTACAAAAGAAATGTTATTGGATTATCCAATTTCAGAAGACGGTTCTAAAAAAGATTAACATAGTTTGAAGATAGATTGAATGTATTTACAATTATGTCAATAGAAAATTACATTTATAAAAACTTTTATTTGAGAATTTGGATACTTGCACCAAACAAAGCAAGAAAAGAATATTTTAAATAGAAACTTGTATTGATAATTTTGGTATTTTTACTCAATTTATATGTGAACACTTTAATAAAATTACATTTAATAAATTAGTAATATAGTGTTTTAAATGTTTTCTTCAACTACTAAATATGAATTAACACATTGATGATATTAGTGCAAGGGCATTTTGTTTTAGTAAAACTAAGGATTTTTTATGGTGTATTCAAAAGCGAAATTGTCTAAGGTACGTTTCTTGATAAGTTATATACATACAAACATAAACAATAATTATTTTAAATGTGTCGGTCCTTGGGAACCGTAAAATAAATTATTAAATTTGATATTTATACCTAGTGGTGTTAATGGTATTGTGGTTCGTCTGAGTCTTCACTTTAACACAGGTTGATATAATGTTGCCCGGTACACCTTGACCTTTACGGAAATAATAATTATTTAAACAATAACTTTATATAATATTACAACACATGTTCATAAAAAAAAAAAAAAAAAAAACATATATCAATGAATACACTTGCGCGCAGTTAGCGACATAACTGCAACAGCATCGAACATCAAACCGACCACTCGTGGCAAACCACAGGAGGTCGGATTTTTGCCAAACAAACAAAACCGAATGTAAACTTGACGGAGTTTTCGATGTCTCATGAAGTACTAACCCTAATATTGTTTGTTCGGCTCGTTCCATAGTTCACAAGGAACTTGCAAGTGTATACGAGGACAATGGCGAACATGGCACGCATGGTTTATGGTCCATTCGCCATTCGACTCGCAAGTGTATACGCGGCTTTACATTAAAACAAAGAAGTACTCACTCGTTTAGTTCATTTCCGTAAGCCGTTTACGAATTCGAGGACCACTGTGAAATATCCTTTTTTGTTTGGAAAACTAATTATTTTAACAAGCAGACCATAGAACGCACAAATTCACAACTCTCTTTGACATGGAGAAACTAAGAACGTACAATTGTAGGGATTTGATTCAATATTTAAATAGATGATAGAAATGTAATGGAAATCTGTCTTAAACAGTTAGATAAAATGTGATTATATGCTCATGGCAAAGTGTGCGATATGCCGTTGATACCAACATGGAACATCGTATATCACGCTGGTGATATTTGATAATAATGCCCAGTGGTTTCCAATTTCGTATACAATTTTGCCTGTTGAACTCCAGAAATTGAACTGTCAATGGTTAAACAAGTTGCCTACTTAGCACCTGAAAATGTGTTTTTTAAACGATTTTTGAAATTCTATTGCCAATGTTCAATTCTGTACGGATGTTGCTTACCTAAAATTGCATTATTATTTTTTAATTTAATTATTTATTGTCTAACTAAAATTTGAAAGTCTGCCATGTTCAATTATTCAAAGGAGCTATTTGTTTTACAATGCTGTTTATTTTTTTTTCTTTATTCTTGTCTGTGGATATTTTGTTTTCTCTTCTAGATAAAGATGATATTTCATCAGATAAAACTCACATATTTCACTATCCAATTAAATACATTAAATACCTATGTCGTTGACATCTAATTCTGTCATATAAAACTTAACAAATTATAACATTTTATATTAGACAATTAAAATTATAAAATTGAAGAATTATGCAAATTTCCCCACCACCTTAGTTTTGATAATTACAAAACTTCGAGATACTACAAAACTGCTCATTTTTTTTCCCCAAGTAGTATCCTCGTGGGCATAGTCTACTTGTTTAGTAATTTTTTGAAATTAATTGATGTAATTGATTGTAATTATTTGAAAAATATAATGACAAAAAATAGCTATTCAAATAGTGCAATTAAAGTAAAATCCAACAATACTTCTTCCAATAAGCTTTGCACAACAAACATTCAAAATTACTTCTGTAATCCAAAACATTTGGTGTATTTTGTCATTCAGACCAACGGTTCCTTCAAAACAAGTACATTTGTTAAAACATTTAACCTTTTTTGATTTTGCATTTTCGATTATACTAAGCAATCTTAATATTTCTGGATTATTGTTCTTTGATCCTTTAGACAGTGTTTTTAAGTATGCTTCGGGTGTGGTGCATACATTTATAGATTTAAATTTATTTTCCAGCGTACATAATAGTCGGTTGATACCTGAAATATCATCTGATTTACATTTGGGTGAATTGATCACCTCCCAGTTTCCATCAATTTCTCGAACAGTAGTCTCTTTGTTATCTTTTCCAAGTTCATAAAAACTATTTGAATTGTTTTCCACATTTGTATTAAATAAATCTTCACTAATCATTACAAAATCATGTTTATATGGAACAATAGAGTTTTTCTTTCATACTCATTTCGACTAGAACTAATCTGAAATTGTATTGTTTTTCAAGAGAATCATCTGTAAACGATTTTCTCTTTACAGACTGTGTACTCTTAAACCGATTGTTTTCATTAATAACCAACTGTATTCTTCTTTGGGAGAAAACATATTTTCATCAATAACATTAAGTTCATTTTCTACAAAACATTTCTTGCATCTTAAGTAATTTCCATTTATTTAAATAACTGCATTCTATGTGTAACTCCTCTTTAGTTTTATTTATATAAAATGTAATAAAATGTATAACCTCGGATTTCGTTCTATTTTTTATCGAGCGTTAAACATAGCCGTCTCGGACGTATTACCCTACGACACGTTACTCAATACGATTCGGTTTTTAGTGCCGTTTTTTTAGATTTTCTCTCGTGCATTCTTGCGTATTTATTACCTTCTTTACGCCTTAATTGCAGTTTTTACACATTTTAGGAACCACTGGGCTTTCTTGTCAAATATTGCCGGCGGAACGTATGTATCAATTACCCTAAGTTAGTATGGAATAGAATATAATTCTATAATCATAGTATAATTCATAAAATATGTATTTTACGAAATACGATTATATTAGTACTTTTAAGTATTTTAAATATTTATAATAATAAAACCACCATCACTATTATTATTAATTAAACGTACTTTAATTTCGTTTGTTTTTTGAATATTTTCCGTTCTCACAGTTCCTTGTTGATGATTGTTCGTCAAGTTGTTGCCATTTTGTTTCACAACGGCTGATTCAGACGGGCTGGGCGAAACGGACTTGATGTTGTGTTCGTCTACGACCCAATTCTCAGTTACGAATCAATTGTTTATTTATGTAATGGTACGAGAATAGAATATATTTTTAAAAACAATTATTACTCAATGGTCTATAGTCACAACCTAACAACTCGTTATCAGCAATATTATATTCCATGTCACGACTTGAAATGTGTTCGTGTTTCATGCGCAGGAAAGAGATATCGTGCTAATATAAGTTCCTTTAAATGCAAGACCGCGGTATACATAGATTAGGTTGCAACGCTGGAAAATCCGAACGACTGCAAGATGTCCGCCTACTACGTTGTCATACAACTATTATCATAATCAGTTACAACTTATCACCAATAAATTCTTTACAATTTTGAATTTTGATTTACATTTTTACGACTATAAACTTGTCGACGTAAGTAAATTGTGTTTCTTTTAAAATAGTCTGTTGCTTATGTGGTTGACTATGTGTATTGTGTAAGTTTAGTAAAGATGTTATGAACTGTTTGATTTTCAAACCAAAATCAGAAAACGGAACATTTTAGATATTTAATAAAATGTGTTATTGTACGAGTATTAATTAATTTAATGATTAAATACAATATATTATATTATTAAATTGATATACAAATAATATTAGATAGGTAAACGTTTTACAAAATGATATCTATAATTTTATATTTTTTATCACATATTCAACAATATCAAACCAATTTGCTTTCCAAATTGAAAAAGACAAATTCAAATTAAATTTTGAATAAACATTTGATGGAATTTCAAATTTGAAGAACTTAAGAAGAAATATTTCTCTACCGCCAGACCCACTTAAACTGCTTTAAAAAATGAATAAATGTTACCCAGCAACATAATATTTATTTATTTTATTTCCATTTATATTTATTTTTGAATATGTAAACATTATATTATTTTTGACGTTTTTTTTATGACCAATTCAACAAAATATGTTACCAGCCACATGCTATATTTTATATTCAAATTATTTACTAACGTATATTATATATTTATGAACAAAGTTAATTTGTTTCATTTTCACAAATAATTGAATTAAGCCGAGAAAAATAAAATGTAATCAACTTTACAAACTATTAAGATTAACTAATAGAATATATATTTTTAATTTAGTGATATGCTGTAAGTGATAATGATGATTGTATGAATGTTTGATAATGTAGTAGTTGGCCATCTTGAAGCCATTCAATTTTCCGTCTAGACTCTAGACTCTAGAATCTAGACCCTTGTAAACTCTGGTAGCAAAGACAACCAGCGGAAAATTGTTATCAAATTTCTTATCAGAATAATAAAAAAAGTATTCATTTTTAGCATAGTCTCTGATTTTTAGTAAGTACCTACTAAATAAGTGCGTTGTAGAAAAGTCTATTCTATAATTAACGATAGTACTCGTAGTAAGTTGTAGTAGATACCTACCTATCAAAATTTAAGTTAAAAGATTTAAATGTTTAAACAGTTGAATCATTATCATATTATATAAATTCAACTTAATTAGGTATAAATATTACCTACGGCATTTGTTTGAATGAAAATTTACTTACAGACTAGTTTAATATGTTAAATAATAAGTGTTGTATAAATGTGTTATGAACTGTAGAGCTTAGGGCTGTCTCGATTCTACTTAAACTAAAGAGCTAAGATTATTTTCTAGTAATGTTCACTCCATGGCTTAAACTCTCTTTGACTTTCTGTAATCCATATTATGTTAGTAGGTCTATGTTGACTTGTTTTGTGTATCTATGTTATTTAAAATTTAAATTTGAATTTTTAACATATTTTTCATGAGTTCAATATATATTTCGCAAAATACTTAGTCTTTAAATGTTTTTTATAGTTATATAGTTCAAATTTTCATTGTTTTATTATTTATGAACCTTGTGAACGGAAAAATCCCTCCAAAATTGTTTTTTGTGTTCAAACTTGCCTAAACACATATGTAGCTATTATACATAATTTTTTGAGCATTATCCTATTAAATAATTTGTTTGACTTTATATTTTTTAATTAAAAAATACTTATTAGATTATTTGAATAATATTTTAAATTACATTTGTTGTTTTAGATCTTCAAACAAAATATATTAACAGTAGAACTATAGAAGTATGTAAGCTAATTAGTTGTGAGTAGGTATGAATTATATTTATGTACCTACCAAATAAGAAATTCAAATTCCAATTGGATAATGTTATAAATAATTTATTAGTATTCATAGTATTTAATTTGATTTGTTTGTTTTAGATTTTTGCATTAAAATGAGAATGTTAATGTGAGTGTTTTTGATCATTGTGTTGAAAAAGATTGTCTATCTCAGATTAAGTTTTGGTTAACACCAAACTGCATATAATAAAAATGAAATATGGGTGGGACAACTGCTGTCTAAGAACATCAGACAATCTGCAACCTAGTGGGTAACATTTTTGTTATCAACATATTATATTGTTTTGTTACCTTGTAATATTCATATAACCGAATGACATCATCATAATATATTCCCATATAAACCTTTTTTTTTTTTTCTTAAATAACTTTTCTATCAAAAATCTTGTTACAATTTTCAAGTTTATTAGCTTTTTTGAAAGAGAATTTTATCTGGGGGGAAACTTTAAGGAGGTCATTTTTTTTTTTTTTATTTTCATAATAAATGGGAAAATATACAAAATTTATTATTTTCAATTTTGTTTTTTTTTTTGTGATTCAGTTAAACTAAATATATTTGTAGTGACTTTAAATCTGGAAAAAAATGTATGTTTGTCTTTTCTTGATATGCTAAAATTTTTAAAACAGTTTTTATATTTTTGAGCGATTTATAGACATTTTATTTTTGAGAGTTTTTACACAATTTTTATTTAGTACCTAGGTATTCTGGGGATAAAATTGTTAGACTAAACAAACTACTTGAAAATTTAACAGGAGATTCATTATAAATCGTATTTTGTGACAAAAAAAAAAAGTTGAGTGTTATGTATAATTTTTTTTATAATAATTTTAATATCAAATTTTGATGAAAACCATAAATATTATAACCTTTCAAAATATGTATAACCGAACTTTGCTCAGAATCGTTTTTTTGTTGGTAATGATTAATTGTTGTGTATTATAGGTATACATTAAATTACCTTTTATATCTTACCTTTCTAACTTCTCACCTACAACAGTGGTCCATTGGTGGACATACTATGCACTAGTGGTGCATAGTATGTCCGTCTTTTTTACTTCTCATCTGCCATATTCATATACATAATTTATTTAAATATAAATAAATTAATATTAATTATAATTTATTGTACTTATATTTATATACTATAAACTATAGACTTATGATTAATTTATTAGTGACTACCACTGTCATTAAAAAAATATTATAAGTGGATCCCTACCCACTGCTCAGTAGTTCATTACAGCAGCCCACACTGTTTTTAACCATAATGACACAATTCTAGATAATATATTGCCTACAGCAGGTGTTTAAACATACATTTTAAGTAAATTAGATATCAATATGTAATACACTAAAATATTTTATTTTTATAATACTCTATTAATTTGTGGACTTTCAATGTAAGTTACCATTTGAAAATCAAAAGTTAGTAGTCTTTTCACTTCCAAAAAAAAAAAGAGTGACAAAAAATAATAGAAATGTAACATTTTAGTGTTGTTTGTTTCTTAAATTTTCAGCTTATATTTTTGTTGAAAAAAATCCATACTTTGCGAAATAATGAGTGTTCAACGATAAAATAATCACTGTATACTCATGTCTATTTTTTACATTCAAGCGTACACTACTGTACACTAACCTTACTGTACATTCCTCTTTACAGTTATAGCTTTAGGTAGTAAGGTATCTATGTTATAATTTAAGTAATAATTATTTTTTAAATTCAAGGAGATGGCGATCGCCACGTGTCGTCTCTTCTTAAATCGGCCATTATTTCGAACAGGCAATTTTATTGCATATCTGTTAACCTATTTGAAAGGACTTATTTCGTCGCATACAAAACACACTTGTCCTATATTGTCAGTTAGGAAGATAGATACGTGACTTAAAACACAAATTTGCGCTCTCCGCAAAAAAAATGAACACCAAATATATATTTTAGATAAAACAAACTGTATGTAAGACACTCAACTTATTTTATTAATATTACAGTATGCTAATATTTTAAAATTACAGTAAAAACTGTTGACTTCAACCAACAATATAAAAGTATGTTGTTGGTACCACGTTGTGGTCGGTCGGCGTCTGGTTCCAATAAAACGCGCTAGTATGCAAAGGTCTAATTAAAGATATAAATTTAATTTGAAAAAGTTCACTTTTTTTTTTTCTTAGATTTACTTAAATTTACTTTAGGGAATATTAGACAAAAAGGGTCCCGAATTAATGCTGGCCCTAAGTTATGCCACTGTGTCAGCTTTTCTGCGAGTATAATTTATTATGTACAAAATAACGTTGCTTTTAGATTATTAATATATTATTATTTATTGAAATAATTGTGATATAATACGTATGACGTATTTAATATATTTGAATCGAAATTAATAACTATTTATAATAATTATTAACGCTGTTAAACAGTTAGAAAGAGTTTTTTTTTTTTTTTTTTATCTCAACAACCATTATATATTATTATTATTATAATAATAATGTTTAACACAATCGCACGAGTTTACAATATTTGAAAGCATTTTGAAAACCGTTGTATTATAAAATTATTGTTGTTACAATATTATAATATATAGACACAGACAGATAAAAAAAAAAAAAAATCAAATTGAACTTTCAAATAATATTATGATTAATCAGCGTTCGTCGATTTCCCGCGACAATAATATAATATAATTATTTATCTATAGATATACAATCCGACGTAGAATTTAATATTATTATTTTTGAACCGGTGCCTTTTTTTTTTTTATAAATAATGATAACGCGACGACGGTTTCGCTCTGCAAAAGGGGCGTTTCGACGCGCGAAACCCCCTCTGTCGGCGGCGTGTTTTGCTTCTATCCAATCAGAAGTCGGTGAAGCTGTTTCTGGACGCACCGTCGTCGCCACTCGGTCGCGCCTGCAAGCCGCCGAACGTCACCGGTCTGTAGACCACCGAATCGCCTTTTTTCCATCCGCGAGGTGCCGTGTTATAGTTGCCCAGTGACAGATAGTCTCTGTAC